TGTGTGTACCTGGAGTGTGTGTAACTACAGTAGTGTGTGTGTGTGTGTACCTGGAGTGTGTGTAACTACAGTAGTAGTGTGTGTGTGTACCTGGAGTGTGTGTAACTGCAGTAGTAGTGTGTGTGTGTACCTGGAGTGTGTGTAACTACAGTAGTAGTGTGTGTGTACCTGGAGTGTGTGTAACTACAGTAGTAGTGTGTGTGTGTGTACCTGGAGTGTGTGTAACTACAGTAGTAGTGTGTGTGTGTACCTGGAGTGTGTGTAACTACAGTAGTAGTGTGTGTGTGTGTACCTGGAGTGTGTGTAACTACAGTAGTAGTGTGTGTGTGTGTACCTGGAGTGTGTGTAACTACAGTAGTAGTGTGTGTGTGTACCTGGAGTGTGTGTAACTACAATAGTAGTAGTGTGTGTGTGTACCTGGAGTGTGTGTAACTACAGTAGTCTGTGTGTGTGTACCTGGAGTGTGTGTAACTACAGTAGTAGTGTGTGTGCGTACCTGGAGAGTGTGTAACTACAGTAGTAGTGTGTGTGTGTACCTGGAGTGTGTGTAACTACAGTAGTGTGTGTGTGTACCTGGAGTGTGTGTAACTACAGTAGTGTGTGTGTGTGTACCTGGAGTGTGTGTAACTACAGTAGTGTGTGTACCTGTAGTGTGTGTAACTACAGTAGCAGTGTGTGTGTACCTGGAGTGTGTGTAACTACAGTATTAGTGTGTGTGTGTGTACCTGGAGTGTGTGTAGCTACAATAGTAGTGTGTGTGTCTACCTGGAGTGTGTGTAACTACAGTAGTGTGTGTGTGTGTACCTGGAGTGTGTGTAACTACAGTAGTAGCGTGTGTGTACCTGGAGTGTGTGTAACTACAGTAGTAGTGTGTGTATGTGTACCTGGAGTGTGTGTAACTACAGTATTAGTGTGTGTGTGTCTACCTGGAGTGTGTGTAACTACAGTATTAGTGTGTGTGTACATGGAGTGTGTGTAACTACAATGGTAGTGTGTGTGTACCTGGAGTGTGTGTAACTACAGTAGTGTGTGTGTGTACCTGGAGTGTGTGTAACTACAGTAGTGTGTGTGTGTGTGTGTACATGGAGTGTGTGTAACTACAATGGTAGTGTGTGTGTGTACCTGTAATGTGTGTGTGTGTACCTGGAGTGTGTGTGTGTACCTGGAGTGTGTGTGTACCTGGAGTGTGTGTGTGTGTGTGTACCTGGAGTGTGTGTATGTACCTGGAGTGTGTGTGTACTTGTAATGTGTGTGTGTACCTGGAGTGTGTGTATGTACCTGGAGTGTGTGTGTACTTGTAATGTGTGTGTGTACCTGTAAGGTGTGTGTGTACCTGGAGTGTGTGTGTACCTGTAATGTGTGTGTGTACCTGGAGTGTGTGTGTACTTGTAATGTGTGTGTATGTACCTGGAGTGTGTGTGTACCTGTAATGTGTGGGTGTACCTGTAAGGTGTGTGTGTACCTGGAGTGTGTGTGTACCTGTAATGTGTGTGTCTACCTGGAGTGTGTATGTACCTGGAGTGTGTGTGTACCTGTAATGTGTGTGTGTACCTGTAATGTGTGTGTGTCTCTAGTGTATGTGTATATGTAATGTGTGTGTGTGTACCTGTAATGTGTGTATGTCTATAGTGTGTGTGTATATGTAATGTGTGTGTGTGTATAGTGTGTGTGTATATGTAATGTGTGTATGTCTATAGTGTGTGTGTATATGTAATGTGTGTATATGTAATGTGTGTGTATATGTAATGTGTGTATATATGTAATGTGTGTGTATGTAATGTGTGTGTGTATGTAATGTGTGTGTATATGTAATGTGTGTGTATATGTAATGTGTGTGTATGTAATGTGTGTGTATGTAATGTGTGTGTATGTAATGTGTGTGTATGTAATGTGTGTGTATGTAATGTGTGTGTGTATGTAATGTGTGTGTGTATGTAATGTGTGTGTGTATGTAATGTGTGTGTATGTAATGTGTGTGTATGTAATGTGTGTGTATGTAATGTGTGTGTATGTAATGTGTGTGTATGTAATGTGTGTGTGTATGTAATGTGTGTGTATGTAATGTGTGTGTATGTAATGTGTGTGTATGTAATGTGTGTGTGTATGTAATGTGTGTGTATGTAATGTGTGTGTATGTAATGTGTGTGTATGTAATGTGTGTGTATGTAATGTGTGTGTATGTAATGTGTGTGTATGTGTATGTATGTGTATGTAATGTGTGTGTATGTAATGTGTGTGTATGTAATGTGTGTGTATGTAATGTGTGTGTATGTAATGTGTGTGTATGTAATGTGTGTGTGTATGTAATGTGTGTGTGTATGTAATGTGTGTGTGTATGTAATGTGTGTGTATGTAATGTGTGTGTATGTAATGTGTGTGTATGTAATGTGTGTGTATGTAATGTGTGTGTGTATGTAATGTGTGTGTGTATGTAATGTGTGTGTATGTAATGTGTGTGTATGTAATGTGTGTGTATGTAATGTGTGTGTATGTAATGTGTGTGTATGTACTGTGTGTGTATGTAATGTGTGTGTATGTAATGTGTGTGTATGTAATGTGTGTGTATGTAATGTGTGTGTATGTAATGTGTGTGTATGTAATGTGTGTGTATGTAATGTGTGTGTATGTAATGTGTGTGTATGTAATGTGTGTGTATGTAATGTGTGTGTATGCTCGCAGTGTGAGTCTATTCAATCATCGCGTTCAACAGCCTCTCTCCACGAGAACCCGACGCATTGTAGTGCGCGGTTCCCATGGCGAGCCTCTAACACACACAGCGACACACAACTACACACTGACACACACAGCGACACACAACTACACACTGACACACACAAACACACACCCTGAGACACACTGACACACACAAACACACACCCTGAGACACACTGACACACACAAACACACACCCTGAGACACACTGACACACACAGCGACACACACCCTGAGACACACTGACACACACAAACACACACCCTGAGACACACTGACACACACAGACACACACCCTGAGACACACTGACACACACAAACACACACCCTGACACACACAAACAAACACCCTGAGACACACTGACACACACAAACACACACCCTGAGATACACTGACACACACAAACACACACCCTGACACACACTGACACACACAAACACACACCCTGAGACACACTGACACACACAAACACACACCCTGAGATACACTGACACACACAAACACACACCCTGAGACACACTGACACACACAAACACACACCCTGAGACACATTGACACACACAAACATACACCCTGAGATACACTGACACACACAAACACACACCCTGACACACACTGACACACACAAACACACACCCTGAGACACACTGACACACACAAACACACACCCTGAGATACACTGACACACACAAACACACACCCTGAGACACACTGACACACACAAACAAACACCCTGAGACACACTGACACACACAAACACACACCCTGAGATACACTGACACACACAAACACTCACCCTGACACACACTGACACACACAAACACACACCCTGAGACACACTGACACACACAAACACACACCCTGAGATACACTGACACACACAAACACACACCCTGAGACACACTGACACACACAAACACACACCCTGAGACACACTGACACACACAAACACACACCCTGAGATACACTGACACACACAAACACACACCCTGAGACACACTGACACACACAAACACACACCCTGAGACACACTGACACACAAACACACACCCTGAGATACACTGACACACACAAACACACACCCTGACACACACTGACACACACAAACACACACCCTGAGACACACTGACACACACAAACACACACCCTGAGATACACTGACACACACAAACACACACCCTGAGACACACTGACACACACAAACACACACCCTGAGACACACTGACACACACAAACGCATACCGGTACGTCTCACAGACACACCTACACACCGACATACTGACACACGGATACAGTGTTGATAGCCACACAAAGCTCCCCCGTCCAGCCTTAACAGACTTTTGAGCAAAGTGCTATTAGCGAGCACCTATTAAAGCCGGTTTGGTAGACGAGCGGGCGATGTTTACACACCGCTCCAGGTACTCATTTAAGGCTACGTCGACCTAGGGGAGGCCCATGACCGGTTCAGACAATCGTCACCGGTGTTGGCCGTGAGCGGGAATCGAACTCGCGTGGCCGGCTTCGTAGCGCAGGGAAGCGCTCCCCAAACTCGCGCCCCTCCACACACAGAGAGAGACGTCTCTCACCCCCACCACCAACACCACCACCACCAACACCACCACCAACACCACCAACACCACCACCACCAACACCACCAACAACACCACCAACACCACCACCAACACCAACACCACCACCAACACCACCACCAACAACACCACCACCAACAACACCACCACCAACAACACCACCACCAACAACACCACCACCAACAACACCACCACCACCACCAACATTACCACCACCATCAACACCACCACCACCAACACCACCAACAACACCAACACCAACAACACCAACACCACCACCACCCCCACCACCACCAACACCACCACCAACAACACCAACAACACCACCACCCCCACCACCACCAACACCACCACCACCATCAACACCACCACCACCAACACCACCAACAACACCAACAACACCACCACCCCCACCACCACCAACACCACCACCACCATCAACACCACCAACACCAACAACACCAACAACACCAACACCACCACCACCCCCACCACCACCAACACCACCAACACCACCAACACCACCACCAACAACACCACCACCAACAACACCACCACCACCCCCAACTCCACCAACACCCCCAACTCCACCAACACCCCCAACTCCACCAACACCACCACCACCCCCACCACCACCAACACGTCGTCGGCTCTTCCTCCTCCTCCTTCCTCTCTCTCGCCGCCGTGCGGGAGCTCAGGGCTACCTGACGCGTTACCTGCCGCGTTACCTGCCGGGGGCCATCCCAGCAGCAGCAGCCGCAGCAGCCGCCGGGGAAACCTCTTAGGTGCCAGCGGCGCCAGACGAGCGGCAGCCCCGTGAGGAGGAGGAGGCGGCGGCGTGGCCGGCTGTGTGGGCACCGCGCTGGCTACTGGCAGCTGCAGCTGCAGCAGCAGCAGGAGGAGGAAGAGGACGAGCAGCAGCAGCAGGAGGAGGATTATGAGGAGGTGTGGACCCTGACTCGCACATGCTGCTCAGCCACATTCGAGCCACCTGAGTTCGCATCGAGCAGGACGCGACTGCGCCGCTGGGGACTCGAGTTGAGTCGACTCGAGTTGAGTTTCGCCGATGGGATTCGCTCCGACTGCGTGAGAGATCGGTTTAGTCCGCCCGCCCAGACGACTACACGCCGGCACAGGTGAGGCAGACGGACAGACTAATAGACACAGACACACAGACGGACAGACTAATAGACACAGACACACAGACACAGACTAATAGACACAGACACACAGACACAGACTAATAGACACAGACACACAGACACAGACTAATAGACACAGACACATAGACACAGACACATAGACACAGACTAATAGACACAGACACACAGACACAGACTAATAGACACAGACACACAGACACAGACTAATAGACACAGACACACAGACACAGACTGATAGACACAGACACACAGACACAGACTAATAGACACAGACACACAGACACAGACTAATAGACACAGACACATAGACACAAACTAATAGACACAGACACACAGACTAATAGACACAGACACACAGACACAGACTAATAGACACAGACACACAGACACAGACTAATAAACACAGACACACAGACACATAGACACAGACACAAAGATACAGACACACAGACACAGACTAATAGACACAGACACAAAGACACAGACTAATAGACACAGACACATAAACACAAACTAATAGAGACAGACACACAGACACAGACTAATAGACACAGACACACAGACACAGACTAATAGACACAGACACACAGACATAGACTGATAGACACAGACACACAGACACAGACTAATAGACACAGACACACAGACACAGACTAATAGACACAGACGAATAGATGGACAGACTATGGGGAGTGTGAAAGGACGGATGTGCGGGTGGACACATATGCGAAACGGATTCTGTATGACACAGAACGTCTTCTATATGTGTGCCGTACAGGTGACACGGACACTGTCATAATAGTGTTCGTGTGCAGGAGAAGTGTGTGAGACAGGTACATATAGAGGTGTGTGTAGAGGTGTGTAGAGGTGTGTGTGTGTGTGACAGGTGTGTGTAGATGTGTGCGTGTGTGTGTGACAGGTGTGTGTAGAGGGGTGTGTGTGTGTGACAGGGTGTACAGTGCTGTGTGTGTGTAGAGGTGTGTGTGTGTGTTACAGGTACACAGTGCTGTGTGTGTGTAGAGGTGTAGAGGTGTGTGTAGAGGAGTGTGTGTGTGTAACAGGTGTACAGTGCTGTGTGTGACAGGTGTGTGTAGAAGTGTGTGTAGAGGTGTGTAGAGGTGTGTGTGTATGTTACAGGTACACAGTGCTGTGTGTGTGTAGAGGTGTGTGTAGAGATGTGTGTGTTACAGGGTACAGTGCTGTGTGTAGAGGTGTGTGTGTGTTTGTGTGTGACAGGGAAGCGGTAGTACAACGGTTAGCGCGCTGTGCTACGAACCCGGCGACTCGAGTGCGATTCCTACTCACGGCCAGATAATGATCTGAATCGGTCATGGGCCTCCCCTAGGTCGACTCAGCCTCAAATGAGGGAGACAAAGGCTGACCACCCCCACCCCCTCCTGTACCGTGGTGGCCTTTTATAGGTGTTCGCTAACAGTACTTGCCCCACCAGTCTGTTAAGGCTATACGGGGGATCTTTGTCTTTTGTTTGTGTGGCAGGTGTACTGTATGTGTGTGGGTTTTACAGGTGGTTAAGACAGGTGAAATAGGTTTATACAGGTGTGTAAGGCAGGTGTGTGAGGCAGGTGTACACAGGTGTGAGAGGTGTACACAGGTGTGTGAGTCAGATGTACACAGGTGTGTATGAGGTGTGTGAGACAGGTGTACACAGGTGTGTATGAGGTGTGTGAGAGGTGCGTGAGGCAGGTGTACACAGGTGTACATAGGTGTGAGGCAGGTGTACACAGGTGTGAGAGGTGTACACAGGTGTGTGAGTCAGGTGTGCGAGGCCGGTGTACTGTGTACGTGAGGCTGACAGGTGGTTGACACGTAGTATACTGTGTCAGTGAGACGGGCAGGTGAGTCGCTACTGTGCCGCAGTGAAAACATTTCACGCCTCTCACCAAGTCGCCATTCAGCATCCCAACAGAGTTCATTCCACTGCGTGGATTTCTAGGAACTTTTCCCCACTATGAACCTTTGACAAACGAGGACATCCCCCATCTTCCTCCGGCGGTGGCAGATTCTTTATTTCCCAATGCCTGACACTGACCCTTACTTATTGTCTTTGAACCTATCTACGTGACTTTACCGAAAGACCCAATAATATGAATTCCTGCAGTCACGAAAGCTTTAAGTCAAGACTGACCCTGACCCTTGCCCCAAGAGTCTTCCTTGGGCTTCGCTCGAGAGCCACTTGACCAGACGTGTTTCGTGGGCTGTGCACGCGCACAGGTCAGCGTGATGGGGTTTGGCGAAGTGTCTGCGCACCCTGATGTGTACGGCATATTCTGCATGAGTTGAGTAATATCAACCAAGACCCCGAGAGCTTTGCCATTGTAGGGAGTATTCATTCGAGTGTAGGGTAGTGAGTCACGTGCCATGTTTGGACACCTGGATATAGAAGTAGTGTACAGGACATGCAACGTTAGGACGAGGATAAACATGACACTCCCTATATGTTTATGAAGCTGGATTCTCCTGTTCGTTTGGACTAAAATGCCCAACAGCAATGTTGCCGTGTGGCTTCGCAGATGCTTTGGTGTAGAATTCTACCGATGCAATTGTGGTGGTGGATCGGGTGGCCCGTGGGTTGGTAGTGCACTGCACTTGTAAACCCGGCCACCTGAGTTCGATTCCCGGCCTCCGCTATTGCCTGTTTGCGAGTGGTATTTGAAGTGGTCCTGGGCACTATTCCATTCACCAACCAAGCCGCACTGACCATCGTGGTGAAGTATGGCCTTTTTATGGTGATTTGAGAATGACTGGAATGTATGATATTTCACAGTTTGTGTTTATACATTTTCCAGTTATTTTACAAATTATCTCTTATCGATGACAAGTATAAAACGTTTATGGTCCCTGTAAAATAAGATTGTTTATACGTACGCTCAGCTGGGTTTAATACGTGCCCCAATACGTACGAATAAACTAAATTCCTCCATCTGTTAAATCTAATTGGCCAATATATACCTACAATGTATATATCGGTCTTAAAATATGACAGGTCATATTTATCGCGTGCGTTACGCGGGACACAAATGCCACGTCGTAGCTGCTATCAGCTCCGATCCGTGCCAGTGATGGGAGGAACTGGTGAGGAAGAGGCCGGTGTCATTCTCCTCTGAATGCCAAACGAATCGTGGTGCGCGCCTGCAGTATGCCCGTGTGCCAACAACACATTGTGACACGGCCATCGGGGATGGAGATCGCATACTGTACACAGCAGCTGTGTTACAATTCTGTTCTTGAAGCCGCATGCAGAACGTCTGTCTTGTCGCGTTTAATTTTCCCTTTCCAGCTCCAGGCTCGAGTTTGCTCGCAGGGGTTTTAGCTCCATGAATTACTTTTGAAAGACTTGGAGTAACCTTTGTAAAGCTCCACACTTGTTGTGTTTAAGTACTGTACAAGTTTGACCAAACGCACTTCCCTGTTGTATTCTCTTTGTAACGCTTCCTGCTTCGCTGTCTGTGTGCTGTGGTCGTGGGCCACAGCCATTGGTTTATCATCTCCTCCGCGTGGGATAAGGAGTCGTCTGTTGTTGCTATAGAGGGTGCCCTCTGTCAGCTATCGTGTGTGAAGTTCAATAGGTCAAATGAGTACAAATTTCATTTTAAAACAAATTACTGATCGGGTCACGGCGCGCCTCTGCACGCCGTGACGCGGTCTTGGGGTCGCCAGGAAATTGTTCAACCACGGGGTCCTTCACTCCGCTGTGCACGTTCAGGGCGGTGGGTGAACGAGAAGCAGCGCGTCTCGTCGTTTGACCATGGAGGCAGCCCAGACTAAAACGTCACGGCCAGAGCCAGGAAGGGCAAGCAAGAAAAACCAGCCAGCCCTCTGACACCGCCTCACTGTGGCACTTGATAAAGCAAAGCTAATTGATGATTGTGATGGTGGTGGTGTGAGTGGCTGGTGACAATCCCTGGCTTGCCGTGGTGCCACGTTGCTTGCGAGGTGCCCCATCAACTGCCACCGCCTTGTGAAAGGACACGGAAGCTCCCGGCCTTCTTCGTCGAGACCAGGCTCCCTCCCTCCCTCCCTGAGAGAAGTTCGGTTGTCCGTGATGCCGTGCTTGCTCCTTGTCTTGTTTGCGTTGCTGCGCCTCCCTTGTTTTCATAGTCCGACATTTAACATTGCATTGGGGTGACCTAAGAACATTAACATTCTTCTTGATTCAAACAGTCTCGTTTTCTACACAATTGCTTCGGTTCCGAGCACAGCCATAGCCTCATGGGTGCAATAGTCATATCCAGGGCCTTTAATAGTACAGTACTAATCGGCACTGCCGATTAGACAGCAGTCGAAGCCATTGCACTTTGCGCCCACGTTAAACTTTTACACTTTGACAATAGTTTTTTTTTTTTTTTAAACTGCAGAGTTTATTTATTTTATAGCATTCTCGTTTTTTTTATTTATAGCACATCCCCGCTCGTCCCTCTCTATAAAGCTCTCTTTGTACATTGCGGTATCCTGGAGACGTGTAGGAGCTATAGGACCTGTCGGTTTATGTTTGAAATCGGTGGGATATCTGTGAAGATCCTAGACTCACAGTCTCACGGGTGTGGCCTTGGGGGGCTCGGTTCGTCTGCTTTGCAAGAGGTTACCACTTGAGCTCGGTGACCATTTACATAGCTCAAATAAATTGATGTGAGCTTTGTCTGGACTAGACACGTGGATTGATGGTGAAGCACTTATCTTCCAGGGGTTATGTTGAACCCCAGTTCCTGCCCCCCTTCTAGGGTTATTACTATTCATAATTATTGATGAGTGTGGAGCGGTGGC